AGCAAGCCTTGAGGAGAAGATCACGAGTTTCATGTTGGACATGTTGAGGATGAGCTGTCAAACAGAGATATCAAAAAGCGCATTGGATATCCAAGCCTATGATTTGGTACTGAAGTAGGGGACAGATGCAATTTGACAGTCATAAGCATTTCAGTCGTATTTAAAGTAATGGGACTAGTTGAGATCGCCAAGGGAGTCAGGGTACATAGGAAGTCGGTGTAGACAGAGAAGAGGATTCAAGAACTGAGAGCCCTGAGGCACTCCATTATGAAGACATTCAGGAGATGAGAAATTTGCAAAGGAGATAGAAAAGAACCTGAGAAAAGAAGAAAACCAAGAATGCAACATCTTAAAAGTCAAATGAAGAAAAGGTATCCAGGAGGAGGGAATGATCAACTGTGTCAAATGCTGATGGATCAAACAAGCTGAGGACTGAGAATTGACTATTGAATTAAACAATCTATGGGCTATGGGTGATTTTGGCAAGAGTTTTTTGTATGCCCAGAATGGGAACGTTCAAAAGCCTGACCAGAATAAGTTTAAGGGATAACAGGACAAGAAGAATTGGAGACGATTCATTTGAAAAACTTTGCTACAAAGGGAAACAGGGGAATGAAACAGTGGCTGACAAGGAATGGGGTTAAGAAAGGGTTTTTTATTTGTATTGCTTTTAAGGAAGAAAAATGATGGCATCACAGATTATTCTGGTGGGAATGATTCAACAAAGGGGGAAAGTTGATGGTGTCAGGAAAATACAGGTTGAGAATCTGGCTTACACAGTAGCAAGCATAGTTCATCAATGGGGACAGTTTGGAGGTCAGAGTGTGTAGATGCAGAAACTCATGGTGTGGAGATTCTATGGAAATCCTCTTCCAGCTAATTCGATATCTTTAGTGAAGTAGGATGCCAAGCCATGAGCTGAGGATGGAGGAGGACATCTTGGGGGTTGGCAGAGAGGGGAAAGGCGTGTAGTCGTTGTCTAGAACAATGGGGAGTGAAGGAACCAGGGAGATAATATAGAAGTTACCATGGAGCATAAGGAGGCCATTTGAGGTTTGTGGGCAGGAATTTAAAATGGGTTGGTCAACGGAGTTATAAGGTTTTCTCCAGCCACATTAGACTGCATGGATATAGGAGCAGAGATAGCAGATAAAGAATTGTTTTGCCAATCAATTTCCAGAAAGCAAGAGACAGGCAAAGAAATGAGGGAATGTGGAAGAATACGACTGTGACAGTTGAACTTAACTCATCCAATGGAACTTAACTTGAGTAAAAAGAGTAGTGAGAAAATGAAGGGCATGAAAGAGGTGAAGATAATAAAAGGAGTAATGGAGTGGAGGCCCTGAAGGAGGACAAGCATTCTGGTGGTTGAGTAGTCAAGAATAAGCTGGGAAGATGGAAGGTGGTAGTCAGAGGGGAAGGCACAAAGTTGAGATTATGGAGTGGTGACAATTATTACTCTAGGGCATGGGTTGGCAAACATTTTCTTAAAAGTGTCAGATAGTAAATGGTTAGGTTTTACACTCTACTCTCTGTCACAACCACTCAACTCTGTCATTGTGGTGTCTAAGCAATCAGAGACAATATACAGTGAATGGGTGTGGCTCTGTTCCAATAAAACTTTATTTATAAATAGGTGGCAGGCTGGACCTTACCTGACTGTAGTTCAACAACCCTGGTCTGGGGTGCAAGATTCAGGGTGTGACCATGGGTGTGAGTGGCTGATGTCAAGTGGAGGACAAGGACATTGGAAAGGAGGTCAGGAACTGGGAAACCCAGAGATGGCAGGATGGAAGGTTGGGAGGATGATCTATATGTATGTGTGTGTTAAAATTGCCGAGGATTAAGGCAGAAGTGGAACTGGAGAGTGTGACCATTAGAGGGGAGCTGATGACTTTGAAAAATAGAGGAAAATGTCTTAGCGATTGGTGGCTGACAGCACAAAAGAGAAATATTAGGTGATATAATTGGGTAACATGAGATTCAAAGCTGAAGCTTTTTAGGGATGAGGAAGGAAAAATGACCTGAAAATGGAAATAGTACAAAGTTCCATTTTCTAGTTCTGTGGTGCTTCTCCACATGTTCAAAATAACCCCTCACCAAATGCAATAAACACATTTTAACTGTTTAAGAACAACTGGAGTAGAAGAAATTTCCGGCAATGAGTTCCTAGCACCAGGTGCGTCAGGAAGGCAGTTCTGGCCCTATAGTTTGTAGATTCTGCATATGCTGTGATGGGGCATCTTTGCAAAACACTAACCACCTTCCACCTGGAGACACATTTCAGCTCTCTTTGGCAAGAAGACCAGCTTTCCTGTACACTGAATATTTTCTACAGTGTCTTCACAGTAAAATGAGAATTTTAGAATAGTGGCAGACTTGTTGATCATATCTATACTACAACATGCCAAAAGAAGTATCATGGAGCCTAAAAAATCAAGCTGGTGATCACCAAAGTCGAAAAAGATCAGAACATGCAAGTAGACGCCTGGAATTGGAGATCGGAGGACTAGAAGTGCTAAGTCCTATAAAAGGGAACTGGAGGCTTTCAAAACGATGGAAATGACATCAAAGAGAGATTCACCAGCAGGCAGAGCTGGCAAAGTGTGTTCATGAATTATATACCGCACCAGAAGTTCTGGCAAGAGAAAAGCACGGGATTAATAATTAACTAGCAAAGTAACAATGGGCTTGTAGAGTTTCTGCTTTTTCTCAGTGAAAGAAATCGGCCTACTTCGTCTTTCTGCCCATTGTTTGTCTCCTCATATTTATAAAGAGGAAAGTTCATAAGCCACATCCTTTTTATAGCCATGAATCATTTCTTCCCAAAGCCTCTTCAGCATTTTCCTTGTACTCTCCTTTGGATCTTTCTGAACAAACCTTGCGAGCTTGGCCTCGGGCTCCTGCTGGTGGTTTGCACTGCACAAGAGAGCTCTGGTACCCACGGCCTCCTGGTGCCGATATTTGAAGCCCTTCTTCACAGCATTTTATTTCTCACCATCATTACCTTCATCTCCAGTAACTATGTGTGGTATTAAGTGCCCAGTTAGCACCGCCGTTAGTATTGTGCATATCTCTGCTTTCTGCCCTCCCAGAGTTTAAAATCCAGGAAAGAGGTACTGATGCTTTTTTCCCACCCTCGGCCCCAGAACTCAGCACATCTGGAGCACAGAGACTCCTTTAAATGTTTATCAAATAAAAACACGTGGAGAACACACAGAAAGCAAAACAGAAATGTTAATTGAAAACAGGAAGGAACATGAACACATTGACATTAGGTGTTAGTAAGTTCATTTAAAAGTGCTGGACAGGGCTTCCCTGGTGGCGCAGGGGTTGAGAGTCTGCCTGCTAATGCAGGCGACACGGGTTCGTGCCCCGGTCCGGGAAGATCCCACATGCCGCCGAGCGGCTGCGCCCGTGAGCCACGGCCGCTGAGCTTGCGCGCCCTGAGCCTGTGCTCCGCAACGGGAGAGGCCACAACAGTGAGAG